ATGTAATGCGTTGAGCAGACGATTCCTTGCCTCCTTATTCATGGGGAATCATTGCGCAAGTAGTGAGAGGCGCCAAGTAAACCGATTTCCTCAGAAATTTCAAATGCTGGGTGGAGCTCTTAAGGTGTGTTCCGTGTAGCCTGTTAGACGGTGTTTTCTAAGTGAGAAGCGATAGCATCCGGCTACCGTTGGTAACTGACTGCCTTGTTCTGCTGCTTTCACCGCCACGCCTGTCGTTGCTGTACAAAAGTATCCCAGAAGTTACTTACTTACTTGTACTTGATACGGCTGCGATCATGTCTGATCTAGCCGGCCTCGATGATGTCCCGAACTGTACCTCTCCACGCGTGACGATCCGCGGCAGCAGATCTAGACAGCTCAACCCATTCCCTTCGCCAACGACGGAGACCGAATACCGAAGGTCCAAGAACCACCTCCATGTCTTGACGGACAGTGTCGAGCCAGGTTTTGAACTGACCCCCTCTTCGACGCCTCCAATGGCGCAACGGTGCCGGATCGAGGGCAGTAACACTGAGCTCCTGAGGTGGACGACGAAGAACATGCCCGAACCACCTCAGTCGTCTTTCTTGGATGGCCTGAGTTATCCTTGCGATGTTATCGCAGCGAGCACGGACTATCTCATTTGAGACGAAGTCGGTTTACTTCACTCGAAGGATGATCCTCAAGCAGTGGTGGTCAAATACCTCCAGCTTTCGCTCATCCTCCACGCGCGAAGCCCAGCATTCACAACCGTAGAGAAGGACAGACCGGACAGATGCACGGTACACGCGAATCTTAATGGCGATGGAGAGGTCACGTCGGTTCCACAGGCATTTCCGAAGGCTTGAAAAAACCCAGCGGGCAGCATCGATTCGGGAGACAATGCCGTCCTTACTCTGTCCATTAGGCAGCAGCCTCGCCCCGAGGTATTTAAAACTGTCCACTTCTTCAAGTTGACAGCCATCAATCCCCAGGGGTACCTTCTTCTGGTCAGGGATGCAGCTTGAGAATACTTTGGTCTTCCCAGCGTTTATGGACAAACCGACTGATTGAGCGACCTCGTTCACCCGTGACACCATAGACTGCAGATCACCAAAACTTGAAGCAAGTAAGGCGATATCATCGGCATAGTCGAGATCAGTCAGTCGATGTCCGGGGGCAAACTCAACGCCGTCACTCTCGTGTAGGGCCCTCCCGAGGATCCAGTCAATAGCGTAGTTGAACAGTATGGGTGACAGGATACAACCGAATACCGAACGGTTGGGAAAGATTGTTACGGACCAGGACTCTCGCAGTAGTGGAGCGATAGTAGGCCTTGATCATGGCGATGATTTTTGCCGGTACATCATCTAGCGCCATTATCCGCCCCAGGGACTCACGGTGAACGGAATCGAACGCGGCGGCAAAGTCAATGAAGCAGACGGCCGTCGGTTGTTGGTAGCTATGGCGAAATTCGAGAATGCGCCTCAGTGTGAATATCTGATCTGCGCATCCACGTCTAGCACGAAATCCGGCTTGGTTGGGCCTCGTCCTTGAGTCACGCACAGCCTGGAATCGCCTGAGTAGGACAATAGCGAAGATCTTCGCAGCAACGTCGATGAGCCTTATGCCGCGGTAGTTCTCGCATCTCGTCTTATCTCCCTTCTTGAGGATAGGTACAAGGATGCCTAAGCCCCAGTCATCAGGAACAACCTCGTCTCTCCAAGCTCGTTCAATCACCTCATGGAGCCATGGCGCCAGGGTGTCGACACAAGACTTGAAGATTTCAGCGGGTATACCGTCCTCTCCGGGTGCCTTATTGTTGCGCAACTTTCGTATGGCATTGGCGACTTCTTCCTCGGAGGGGGGATCGCATGGCGCTGCATAGGTAGGAGGGGGGAAAAACTCCGCTGAGGTGGAGAGCAAGGGCGATGTAGGTTGGGTATCGAAGTTGAGATGGTGCTCAAAGTGCTCACGCCTGCGCTCGACTTTGGCCGAGTTGTCAGCAATAAAGCCGCCGTTCACATCGCAAACAGAGTCACTCAGTGTAGAGGGCTTACCGCTAAATTGGCGGATCAGACGGTAGAGCTTTCGAGTGTCACCAACGTTCGAGGCCTGTTCCATGGATGTCGCTATTTCGGCCCAATATTGCTTCCGGTCATCCCTGGCCGATTTTGCCGTCATCTTCCGAAGTTGGCGGAAGTAGTTATCGTTGCGGGACCTGGCTCTAGCCGTCTGAGCAGACAACTGCAGGGTTCTTCCGCTGATCTAGTCACTGCGGCGTCGCTGGGCGTATCCAAGGATTTTCTCAGCTGCCCCATAGACTGAGGTCTTCAGTGACGACCACTGGTTACTGACTTCTCCGTCGGCTCGTGTCGTATAACAGGTCCGGATTTCTCTGCTTAGGGCCTCGGCAGTGCTGGCTTGCCGGATTTTTGCGACATTGAGGCGTCTAGGACGTGGCATTTTTGGTGTGGATGAGAGATGAGCTTTCAGGCGTGTACGGACGAGGACATGGTCCGACCCATATGCGTTACCAGTCTCGGCACCACGCATCGATCTGCTATCGTGAACCCAGCTGCAGAACCTTGAGCTAACTAGTATGTAGTCATTCTGACTGGCCGTACGACCGTCGTTTGAATACCAGGTCAGCAGATGTTTTTTGCGATGCTGGAAACATGTGTTGGTGACAAGCAGTCGGTTTCGATCCGCGAAGTTCAGCAATCTCTCACCGTTTTCACATCGGGAACCATGCCCAAAGCGGCCAAGAACATGACTGGTTGTGGGGTCTCCAGGTCCAGTTCGACCATTCCAAACGCCAGCAACAATCAGAAGATCGCGGCGAGGCAGTCTTTCAACTAGCGCTTGCAACTGAGAGTAAAACGCCTCTTTATCGCGCTGTTCGGCAGCCGAAGTTGGTACGTACACAGCAACGATGGAGATGTTCGTGAAGTGACCCTTCAGTCGCACGTAGGCCATCCGGTTATTGACTGGTTCCCAAGCAAGTAGCGCGAGGTCCGCTTGTTGTAATAGGGCGATCGCCACACCGTGTCGACCAGAGGAATCGCGGGGACCGCTGTGGTACAGGGTGAAGTGTGATTCGACTCCCGGGATCTTTATTTCACGGGAGCCTGAGTCAGGAACTCGTACCTCAGACCGACAGCAGACATCCACATTGTACTGATGAAGGCTGCGTGCGGTCAGACTTTGGGTACCAGGATCCAGGAACGTTCGTACATTCCAGCATCCAATACCGAGAGTCCGTCCACGATTGAGTAGTCGAGCTCGCATACTATTCGCCCGCACCACTGGACCAGGGTTGCGGAGCGCGTCGGTTCCCGCGGACGCAGTAGCATGGGTCGTAGTACTGTAATCGGACATGTTTCATGAGGTCTCTTGGGAATTTCGAATACGGGCGGGTCCCCAACAGCCGCTCGGATTGTTTGTTCGAGGTTGTCTCCTCTAGCGCTTTGGCTTAAAAACCTAACCACAAGGCAACGGTGGCTAGTAAACTTATTTAATGGCGGTTTACGGTCGCCATGTCACAATGCCGTCATTGGGTTTTGCGGCATTTTATAAGGCTTTCAGCGTGCCAGACTTCAGCCCACCGCACCCTGGTAGCAATGTCGCTGCTGGTTCGCGACTGCTTATTCGTCAGACCTGGGTCTGCTTATTTCGCAGCTAACCTTCACTGAAGGTCGTCCCACTATCCGCCACCTGTGGACGCGCCGGGTAGCCAACAGCTAGGCTGACGGGCAACCCGTCTCCCCGGGCAACCCGTCTTCCCGGGGCAACCCGTCTTCCCGGGCAACCCGTCTTCCCAGAAGTTATGGTTAATTTGTTGAGTTTTGTGTGTTATTTTGACGTCTTATCTGTGCCTGTGTACGTGGACGAAGTTGAAAAGATCTGATGTTCTGACAAGTGCTGATTTGAAGCTGTCCCGACGTAGCCGCTCAGTTAAGGTTAGCCATACTTAGGCATCGCAGAAATGCACACCATGCCAGTCGATTCCACAGCAGAAGCGTCCGGGACTCGTTCTTACTGACTCGCCTGCAACATCCTCTAAGACAGTTGAGGTGAAAATAGTCGAATTTCTTTGCTAGGCGCTGTTAGTTCAGACTTCAACTCCGTACGGAAGGGTTATCTGTGTGGTGACTCTACATATAGGTTCGATATCGAGGAGAATGCCGAAGCTTTTCTATAGAGATAACTGTGGTCAGCCGACGGCCTGACCAAATTTAGGGGTCCGGACTTCTATCTATCACGGCTCTAAAAATCGCACTGAACAAGTAGACAACGATGAAACGAAGGCTAATGCTCTTAAAGTTTGCCCTTTACTTCACCAGTTGATCCGACTCCGAGGTATTCATTTTGGTAGATTCCCATTAACACTCTGGAAGGCATAAAGCTAATAAAGAAAAATGTTTAAGTTCCAGATGTATGTGGGAATAAGGAAGAAGGAGATCGGTCGGGCACCGGAACCATTTGTTTTTCGGAACTTTCTAACTTGTTCAGGCGTCCATTGTCAGAGATGAAAGCAGCAACAGAACAAGCGACAGTCGTATAAAGTATTGCCAAATCAACAACCAGTGGGATTTAGACGGCGGTTTTCGGAGCGGCAACAAACACCACTTAACTTCTGAGTTGTCACAATAACTATCCAATGATTCGCAGACAAGGCTGTGTGAAAATTCACCCCAAACGGATTTAGACTCACCACAGCAGCCCCGAAAAAATCAAATGCGGCCCGACATCTTTGCGACCAAATTATGAGCAGTGGCTCTTCGGAGGCTTTTGTAAACCAATGCTCGCGTGCACGCCCCCGGATGACTCAAACGCAAACACCAACAACGATATGGTGGGCTCTGCCATACATCGACCACGTATCAGAGGCTACGGGGGATGTTGT